TTTATAACATCAAAGGCCAAGAATAAATACATAAATTGAGTCACATTTTTAAAAAGTAGAATAAAATCAATTGTTTTATCAAGGACAAGCAATGATAATGCTGCTGATGAAAATAAATCATATACCTTCTTTGTTGTAAAAAAATAATGTGAAACTTAAAAGCAAATTAAATCAAAGGAAGAGCTCGAAATGTATATACACAAAATATTGTCACTGATAATAAATACATTGCAATTAAAGCAATAATCAGACTTATGGGAATGATTTTAATGGGATAGTTAAAAGGAAAAGCCTATACAAACATCTCTGGTGACAGGTGTTATCCATAAAACCTTAAGCACAGAAACAATAAGTACTGAAATCTGGAATTTTACTGTCTATGCCAGACAGTACCCAAATAGAATTTCAAGTGTTGTAAATTTGTGAATGGCTGCAAAATGGTTGTAAGTTTTGTATCACTATAAAAGTTTACAACCATCAATCTCTCCTGGCACACCTGTATCCCATTCTGCTATAGTCACTAGAGGGGAGCTCAGCTGGAGAGCGCTATGAAAGGCACAATAGGAGTATGTAGAAAAACGTATACTACAGCACAAACAATATTTGATGATACCCAAGTTTTCTGGAAAGGCCTGTGGCACAGTAAACTCAAGATGGACCCTGAGGATATGTAAGATTTGAATAGGTGAAAGAAAGAAGGAGAGCACTTCAAGCAAGCCAACTAGAATTAGCAATATACTGAAGGAAAGAGAGGAAAGGCAAGATAAGTACTATTAGTACTATTAGTTAGCTGTGGGTGATAGTGTTAGGGTGTGTGTGCTCGCCAGAAAGACAGAGGGAGACAGAAAGACAGAAAGCGAGAAGTCACCCCCCCCTCCCCCCGGGGTATGGCCATGCCACAATCCCTTCTCCTCCACTCTCCTCTTGGGATCTTAGGCACACACGTACACACGCCTGGCATGAGTTTAAGCCACCGGGTCCAGGACTCGAACCGCAGTTGACTACGTGGGAGTCCAGCAACATAGCCATTACACTAACTGATGGTCCCAAAATATTTATTCTTTTAAAATGTATGCATGAATGAATCATGGAGAACCTTGAAAGTCAGGCTATGGCTGCCAGTTTGGAAGCAGGGCCCTCTACTCTATTGAAAGCAGTATAGTTAGAAGATGGATCTGGACACACGCCACAGGATGGACCAGAAAATGACCAGAGACAGAGATACCAGTTGGGAGGCTGTGTGATAGGTGATAAGGACTGGACATAAAAAGGGTTCAGTTGGAGATACACTTTGACAGAAATATCAGTGGGATTTAGTGAGAAAAAAAAAGAGGATGGATAACTCCATGGCTTTGAAGCTAACAGACCGAGAAAAGGGTGGTACCATGTGCACAAAAGAATTCGAGACTGAATTTGGAGAAGATGGCTAACTTGCTTAGCAAAAGGCAGAATTATGGAGGGAGGCAGAGGAGCAGTGCTGAGGAAATACAACAGAAGCATAAAAATGGGACGTGCCGTCAGAATGAGCTACTGTGTCACGGAGAAAAGGGCAGCCATATGTAGCAGGCCACCACCCACATCAGACTATGTATTCAAATCCTGCCTCTGTCACTCATTAGCTATATGTCACTGCACAAGTCTTATTACCATTTTTAGTTTTATCATCTGTAAAATAATGACAATACAATCTACTTCATAGAGATATTTTGAGTATTAAGTGAGAAAATACATATAGACTAAAATGGTACATCCACTGTGAAAAACAGGATGGCAGTTCCTCCAAATATTAAAATAAAATAAATCACCATATGTTCAGCAATTCCACTCTAGATATATACCCAACATAACTGCCATTCTGAATATGTATTTATTGTCCCATACTCTTTATTATAAAGGTACTTTAAAAGGTTAATGGAAAATGGAATTAAAGTACAAGTTTACTTTGGTGCAAAAAATTTGAAATCCGTGCATAGTTTTTTTCATGATAATGCATTTTCCATAAATTTTTTGAAACCCCTTGTGTTGTAATACACACACACACACACACACACACACATCCCTAAACAACATGTTATTGTCCCACTCTACATTATGAGAACCCTTTGTGGTGCTGTATACTGATTGGGAATTGTGCCATCTTTTTAATAATTGAAGATTTTCTCATTACTTCGTGACCCTATTTACACCTAATAGTGAATTTTGCCTTAATGTCTCTTTTGTCAGGTATTATTTCTCTATCAACTGTCTTTTGGTGTGCTGATCCTTAGCTTTTCACCTTCAGTCTGTCAGTGACTTTATGTGTTCTTTTTATTTTTGGAGAGGTTTTCGCTATAGGGCACGTGTGCTCGCCAGACAGAGAGAGACATAAAGACAGAAAGCGAGAAATCACGCCCCAGGGGGGATGGTCACGCCGCAATCCCTTCTCCTCCATTCTCCTCTCGGGATCTTGGGCATGCATGCACACCCGCCCGACGTGAGTTTTAAGCCACCAGGTCCGGGACGCGAACTGCGGTCGACTACGTGGGAGTCCAGTGACATAGCCATTACGCTAACTGCTGGTTCCCACTTCATGCGTTCTTGAGATGTTCCTACAGCTGGACTTTTTTCAGTCCAGTCTGATAATTTCTGTATTTTAATTGGTACACTTAAGACCATTTTAAAATTGTGATTGCTGATGTGTTTGGATTATTTTCTATCATGTTACTTGCCCACTTTTCCTATGCTTTTTCCTCTTCCTTGCTTATCTTCTTTTAAATTGATCAAGGTGTGTGTGTATTTTAAATCCCTTTTCTCCTTTCTCAGGTTTGGTTGTTGTATTACTTCTATAACTTTTATAATACTTTTTTTTCTTTAGAGACTTTATGCTCACTGGAGAGAGAGAGACAGACAGAAAGCAAGAAATCACTGCCCAGGGGTATGGCCACACAACAATCTCATCCATTTTCTTCTCAGGATTTTGTGCATGCACACACACATGAATGATGGGAATTTCAAGCTGCTGGGTCCATGATTTGAATCTCTCTCTGCCATGTGCGAGTCCAGGAATGTAACCATTATGCTATCTGCTTGTCCCTTATAATAGTTTTTTAAAAAGTCAAGTATCGGGGCCAGCAGGTGGTGTGGTGGTTAAGGTGCTGGACTTCCACATGGGTGACCAGGGTTTGAGCCCCGGATCTGGAAGCTTGCTTTCTTACCCCGTCCTCTGTCTGTCTCTCTCTGGTGAGTGCAGTGCCCTTTAGCAAATAAAAAAAATTAAAAAAAAACATAATAATGATAAATAAAATTAAATAAACAATTCTTTTTAAAAAGTCAAGTATGCATAGTAAATTTATATATACTTGATGTTTTTCAAAGTCTAAAATTAGTCATTTTCTTTGTCCTTCTCCTCCTTCAAATAAAAGAACATAAATATTAAAGCAAAAGGTAACGGAACACTACCAGCCTAAGACCACGTTAGATTCTTGTCTTGAGATTTCTCAACCAAGCAGATGTTGGAGGATATTTAAAATTTCAACCTAGTCTGAGGCTACAAACTCTTGGGGGACTATTCCTCCTCCAACAAGCAATGGAGACAGAGTTGTTGCTTACTCCTGCCTGTGGGCAAATCTTTTCAGTCTTACGGGTTCCGCTAACAGAGTAGTACCTTGAAGGGTCTCAAATTTAGGCCAGAAGGGGGAGCCCTTTAGTTTAGCTGTTTGTGGACTTAGTTTACTTTTTGTGGACCTAAGCCCTGGTCTCTTCCCTCCTTGCCTGGCCATTCATCTCAAAGTTCCAAGTTCCTGGCAATTCATATGCCCCCAGGTTGGCCCCAGTTTCTTCATTTGTTCACCAGTATGGATTCTGCTTTACTCACTTCATTTGGCACTTCAAGTTTCCTCTCACTTTATTACAACTCAGCAAGGCAATTTGCTTTGAAAAATGAGATTTGTCTAGTATCTAGGCATTTCAAAGGGAGGCTTTTTAGCATAGTGTATCTGTCCTTTACTCCACGAAAAGGAGACTAAATATTTTAATTTGTTGTGCATATACAGAATTGTTTACCAACTATGGATTTTTATGTTTGTTTCCATTTGTCTTTGAACTTTTTGCATAAAAATGTGAAAGCTTTCTTACAATTAGAGTATGTAAGTACATGCAGTTATAAAGCAAGATGTTCATTAAATGGCTACTTAATGGTCATTTTTATTTGGAAATGACCTAACATCAAGTCAGAGAGGCTTCGTGGAGTAGATTTTGCCATGGCTCTTATCCAGCTAAGAGTTGAACAATACGAAAAGAAGTTCATGATACGTGGAGTAGATTTTGCCATGGCTCTTATCCAGGTAAGAGTTGAGCAATATGAAAAGAAGTTCATGATATATTGTTGAATAAATAAGCTGTTTTGAGGCCGCATCCCCTGATCTAGTGGTGAAGTATTGCTTAAGAGAAACTAAATCCAACATAGAAAATGGTTCAAACCAGGTCTGTCTGAAACATGCCAGGCACGGACACAAGTGCCCAAGACCTGACAAGCTGGAGGACTGAAAGAGGGAGATAGGGTGGGACCAGACTCTTCTTCCCCTCTCTCACATGCAGGCACACACATTTTTATCATGAGTAAAGAAAAAAAAGATGAAAAAAAAAAGCTGTTTTAAAGACCCCCGTTTTTTATTTACATAAACACATATGTATTGTATTTATACTGAAAAAATTCTAGAAGGAAATATCCAATATTTTGAGGTCATATCATTAGAGGATGCTTTTCTTCTTGTTGAGATCTTTTTAAATGAACAGTACTGTGCACTTTTTATGTAAAAGACAGATCATTTACAACAGAAAGCAGTGGTTGCTAACCCTAACCCACTGTCTAGCTCCAAGCTGTGTCAACAGAAGGCATCTATCTTGTGAGGGAGTGGAGGCCCCACAACTGAGTGTGTCGATTGGGTGACCTCCCGTCCAGGGTCGCTGTTATCTTGTGATTGGAAGACTCTCATTTTATTTATGTTTTCTCCTGCGAATAGGTCAACCAAGCAATGCCTCAGACAGACAAGCAAATATGCATCCCGCCAGAGCTGCCGGAGTTGCTCAAGCAGTTCACCAAAGATGCCATTCGGACCCAACCGCAGGATCTGATCCAGTGGGGTGCGGAGTACGTATTCCTTGCTCACCTCAAGCCCCCCTCGGAGAGTGGGGGAACGCTGGAGACGTCACGGCCGCAGCCAGGGGGTCGGACTTAGCATAATCGTGATTTCCAGCTCTCTGTTGCCTTGGTGCTTTAAAACGCACACCCAAGGACATCAAAGTGGGCGAGAATGGGATACCTCTTCTAAGAGAGTCAGACTGGGCAGTGGGACGCAAGGAAAATAGGCCAAACGTCCTGGGTCAAACAGCAGCAGTTCAGTTACCACACCTCACCAGAACACGCAGCCCACCCGCTGCACCCTTTCCTGCTGTCTTGGTGGAAAAGATTTGGGAATGTCCGCCTTTCCAGGTTAAAACCAAGGCCTCGTTCTCCTGCGTCTCCAGTAGATGGCAGCAGTGCACCTGGGGGAGTGGTGAGAGATAGTCTTGGAATGGACCCGGCGGAAACAGCCCAGGCTGGTTCACTCCTTAAATGAGGCACCTTCCTCCACTGCTGCTAAAACTCATGCTTGTGCCCAACCCAAAACACCGTATATTGCTTGGGAGAGAACTGTTGCTTTTTGGGATTTTAAAAAAGTGTTTCTTTTAACTGATTTGCTCTCTCAACAAATACACATGGCATTCTGGAAAAAGAAGGCAAAGCAGAAGGCAAAGCAGAGCGCTGAAGTCAGGCCTGCCTGAAAACAGTGTGCCTCAAACACAGGTGCCTTCTTTCAGGAGAGAACTCCAGGGACCGCTCGGTCACCCACGTTTACACCAATAGCTGCTGGCTTGGGCTGAAGCAGCTTTACCTAGAAAACCTCTCAGCTATGAAATTGCTTCTTAGACAAACTCGCCTGCTTGAAACTGAGGAACTGGGGCGTGGGGCAGGAGTTAGGAGCTAACTAGACCTCCCAGGCCATCTTCACGTTGTTTCAACTGTAGGAGGAGCACCCCCCTTAGCAGTGTTCCAGTAGGAAAGAGGGAGTAAGAGAGAGATGGTGGGGAGGGAGAAGAGTGTCCTTAGCCTGAGGTGGTGGGTAGGTGTATTAAGCAGATGGTGGAGAGAAACTGGAGACACCTTTGAGAAGGCATATAATGTCTGGTAAGACGGGCCTCGCAGACTGTCTGAGCCTATGCGCTTGTGCTCCTGGGCTGGGTCAGGATGAAGCTTTTGCAACTGAAAGGAAAATAAACCAGTGGTACTCATAAAAAGAGACTCAAATGGGGTTGCTTGGCTGCTAATGAGCCCCGTTCAGTTTTTCCATTCTAAATTTTATTTATTACCTCTAAGATTGAACTTTTATGCGAGAAGGCTAATTTCTTTTGGCATACTCAGACACACTTTGTTTTATACTACACAATAGTTTAAAATCCCATTTTATTATTCTGGTGCTGCTATCTTTACAGTAAGAAAAATGGCATTTCTTGGTATTGTCCCTGACATTTATGGCAGAAAACATCCCACTAGGGTAGCCTGCTTGCTCTCATATTGTATCATGTACTATAAATTCTCTGGACATCCATGAAAAATCAGTTTGTAGTTTAACTACAGTGAAAAAGGAGAGCCTAACCTAACAGCACTCTCTATCCCATCCAGACATGAAAAGCACTTATCAGATGGTTTACGTGACTTGCAAACCAGTCTCATTTTACAGGACAAAACTCCACAAATTATTTCTAAGACAAAACACTATTTAATCCATTGCAAGCATGCCCTCCATATTTTCAGTCAGTGAAGAAACGACCTACCAGGCATCAGCAGGATGTATGCCTATTTGTCCCATGGGAGGTGTGTGTGACAGTACAAATTTGCGATATATGTATGTTTCCAAGGAACTGTTCACTTGCAAATAAAGCTCAAGAACCCAGAGAACTAACTCCATGACGGCAGCTTCATTTACATGTTCTCTAACAATTCCACTAAAAAGTCTCAGAACCTCTCTGCTAGTGTCACTCTTAACTGGGGTAGTCAGAGAGAGGCAGTGGTTAGCCCTGTCGTGATATGGCTTGACACTAAAATGAGCTTTCACAAAATCCCCCCATGTTCTTTTTATACTACCCAGATCTGGAGAAAATGACGGGGATGCCAGGTAAGCAGGGAGGGTCGGAAAGGCATGCCTCAGGGAGAGCCAGTAACAAGAATGTTGGTAGGAACAGGCCATCGGTCCCACTTGGCAACTGCTCTGTCCTGTCCCTGCTGCAGGTAGCTCTTTCCATCTCATGCCAATCCTGAAACAGGACACAGTATTTTTCCACATTGCCCCCAACAAAGCTAACTCCACAGCGCGTCAGGGAGTGGGCAGGCTTTACTGGAAATCCTTAGGGAAGCTAGAGAAGGGTTTTACCTCACACATGCCATACAATGTAAGGCCTCTCAAACCCTCCTTTGGCTTGTCTTCTCTCCTGCCTTTTCTCGCCTTTCCTTCTTGAAGCCCCAAGCCTCCCTACCTCCAGCTAGAAACCACCCCCACACTCAGTCCTGGGGCATTGCCATCTTCTCTCCTTTCTCATACAAGTTACTCACATTCTCTCTGAGCTTCCCTTTTCAAGATTACACACCCCACCACACCCACTACCTAATATTGATACATACGCACACACAATGTTTATTTGTTTATATCCATTGAAATGCGTGTGTGTGTGTAAAACACTTAGGAGGGATGGCAACAAAACAAAACAAAAACCACTACCAATAAATCTGACCCCATACGCTTTGCATACCAAGTTTTTGTTGGTTATGCCTCATCTTTAAAGAAGAGCGATTTTTTTTTACTAATTCCCTAAGTACTCTATACTTGAAATGGAAAGTACAGGCGTTTCTGTATGTAAATGAACTAAACAGTATCTGGCACATGGAAGCCATTTCACAGATGTTCTTTCCCCTCCTTTCTTCAAAAAAGGGGGGTTCCTAAAGCAGCCTGAGGTTCCTGGGATAGAAGATGGTCCTCACAACCTCTAATTTACTCTCTTGTAGTTATTTTGGGGCTATGTCCCGTGGAGAGATTCCGCCGGTGAGAGAGCGGTCCGAGCGAGTGGCCTTATCTAACTGGGCAGAGCTAACACCGGAGCTGTTAAAGATCCTGCATTCCCGGGTAAGGGCCTCACTGCATCATCCAGGAGATGCCGGGTGGTGCTGTGGGTGGGTGGGTCCAGACAAAAGCCCTGTGGCCCGGTGAAGCAGCTGGTCACGTTGCACCACCGAAACATGTACTGAAGAGAAATTTTCCCTTGGGAAAATAGAATCACCTTGAGATAGCCTGTAGGCTGAGCTTCAGTGGCATTATCCCAGATTTCCCCGCAGCTGGCAGAATGTTCAGGTGCTTAGTGCACTGCAAACCCATTCTCTCCAGCAAAGTACAGGTCTATAGTCCCTCCAGTGACTTTCTTACTGATCAAGACCACGATATGATGCCTATCATGGATTGTGGCAGGGCATGTCATAGTTCCCTAGCTAGCTCAGATCAGACATAGCTTCGTTTGAGGTAAAACACTGACCCTCCTCACGCCCACCTTGTCCTGGAAACTGCTGGGTAGACAGATGAGAAGGGTCTGGCTCGAGAAACTTTATGGTTTGCCCATTCCCCAGGGAATATGAACTAGCACCACCATGCCTTAGTTTCAGATCCAGGACTAAAAGGTTCGGGGTGATTCAGGATTGACTTGGCCAACTACCTGGATCCTAGAGGTTTAGCATTTCACTAAAATAAGCAGAGGGTCAGGAAAGGTGTGGGGGCACGTCACTGGGGCATCTGTACCCTTGTTGCATTGCTGGTCAACAACCAGCTTTTCATTCTCTTCCTTCTTTCAACCATCAAGTACCATGTGCAGTGAATACGGTAGCGCCCCAGAGGACCCAGGATCAGGCAACTCTGGGCATCCAGAACGAACCCCAGCTTTTCATTCCTGGAAATGTGGGAGGGACACAGCTGAGGTCTTGTGCAGAGAATACAGTGGCGTCTGGAAGTGACCTAACATCTTATTCTCATTTCGCCACTAGTCAGTGGTCTCGGGCAAGTCCTGTGCCCATTGGTTTTGCTTTCAGATTGTCCCTTCACTTAAGGATAGCCTGGGAATAAGACAATGGATAATAAAAGCATCACAAATCATGTCATCTAAATGCATCATTTCTCATCATTCTTATATCCGAAGTTTAAAATTGTTCAATTGTTCTTCCGCTTGCTCTTCACTCATCCTGGCGAAGAAAACTGCCAGAGTTCTCCTTACCTCCCTCGGCCCCCTCCTGCCCTTCCCCTTACTGTGTGCTGCAAGAACTCACCCTTTGTGTTGTGTCTGTTGCTGCCTGCAGGTCGGTGGCAGACTGATCATTCACGCAGAAGAGTTGGCCCAGATGTGGAAGGTGCTGAATCTCCCAACAGATCTGTTTAACAGTGTGATGAACGTGGGGCGCTTCGCGGAGGAGATCGAGTGGCTCAAGTTTTTAGCCCTCGCTTGCAGCTCTCTTGGAGTTGTAAGTTTGTCATTTTCCCATCGCTCTGACCTGGAAGGGTAGGACTTCTGGCCACATAGCTCTCCAGGGCTCCTGATAATCACGCCTCTGTTCTCTGAGTTACTGTCGTCTCTGTGCTTGTCAGCTGGAAACTGGAGTGAGGAAGAGGGAGAGGGCAAAACCGTCATGGGCTCTGGGAAGAATTGACTAAAATGTGGCTCTGGGATTACTCGTAATTTCACCCATTACCCTCAGGTTTATTTTCACTCTACTCCACTCCCTCCATTCATATTCCCAGAGCTAACCGAGAACAGGCTGTAGAACAAGACTTGCTTATTCACAGGTTCCAGACACCTAGAAGATACACCCCTAGAGACTTTTAAAAAGCAGTGCAGCCTATAGAAAACTACTATTTGATACATATTAATGTGTACTAAAATTAGGGCTAAGAAAGCAAGAGAGGAAAGGCTGTTTCTAGACTTACGGTCATGATGTCACTGTGGATACAGGGGGTTCATACAAATTCATGCTTTTTTCCAAATTTGACTTGTGTGACAACTGGAAAAGGCATTTTCCTGTTTTGAAGAAAAAGATGCTGGAACCGGTTTATATATATATTCAGCATTGAGCTAGCTATCTACATATATACATAGATAAAGCGTAAGTTTCCTTTATGAAGACTCACTCTTGTTAAACACTATTATAACAATATAAATGAAAATGAATCTGAAATGTGGTTTTAAAACATTTTTCAAAGTCAAATAATTTTAAAATTAATGAGGAAATAAAGGACAGGAGAGAATATTTGGGTTGTTTTTTTCTTCTTCTTCTTTACAGGAACATTCTATAATGAATAAATTACTGTCTTCTGATGAGGAGACGAAAATGCAGCCAGGGTAGATGCATTGTCAATCAGGACTTATCTCACTTCTGTGAAAAAAAGCCTCAAGGACTGAAGGAAATCACAAAAGAAAAAAAAATGAAAAATGGACAGATTTCATTAAATTCTCATAGTGTTAAAAATGTATGCACACCACATTCAGAGATGTTGAGGAGGTGTACCGGTTTATTTTAACTGTAGTTAATTCTGATCTTCTTGATCTATTCTACAAAGGGTAGAGTAAAAAATAAGTAGGTTCAAACCACTCCAGAATTTTAGTCTACAGTAAGTCAGGCGGCCAGAAGATAAGTTGCCCAGCCTCTGAGCTTTCTTCTTACCATTCTCTCTTCTCCAAGATGGCTGTTGAGTGGATAGGGAAAAGGATGACTCAGGATGTCAGAGCAGCCAAGGAAAGGGATTCTCTCAACCTTTGGTCTTCTCTGTCACCTCTGGTCTCCATGGCAGTACCCCTGTCTATTTACAGCCTGTCTTTGGTCTCACCTCTCAGATTGGTCAAAGCACAACAACACTCCCCCATAGGCTCACCTCGGTTCTCACTGGTGCCAAGAGCCTCCTGAGTCTCTGCTAGGAGGTCATGCTCCCTAGCTCAGGAGGTCAGTTTCGTAGCCCTTCACCACCGTGTGAGATGTCTGAGTCTTCCTCTGTCACCATACCTCACAGTAACCAAGAGTGACTTTGGAATGCCAATTTCCAGTCCTCCCTCTGTTTATCCCACTGTAGAGCTGGTAGGTTTTCTCTGATATGTCTTTCTTCTAAACTGGTGAGGGGAAACCATGCAGTGAATTGTTTCTTTCTACTTCCTTTTTTTTTTTTTTTTTTTTTGAGAGGTTTTTTTTTTTTGCTATAGGGTGCGTGCGCTCGCCAGAGACAGACAGAGAGACAGAAAGCAAAAAATCACCCCCCAGGGGGGATGGCCACGCCACAATCCCTTCTCCTCCATTTTCCTCTTGGGATCTTGGGCATGCATGCACATGCGCCTAGCATGAGTTTAAGCCACCGGGTCCGGGACTTGAACCGTGGTCGACTATGTGGGAGTCCAGTGACATAGCCATTACGCTAACTGCTGGTCCCTTTACTTCCTTTCTAAAATAAGGTTGGATTAAATATTCCTCGAGGTTTCTTTTACCTCTAATATTCTGATTGATTCTATTCCCCCTCTCTTCTAAGACTTACCTTGGGTAACAGTGAACTCCTTTGATTCTGAGACGTCCCAAGATGTCTGACTTTGCCTCTCTGCATTCTTATGTCAAAGAACACCTAGCAGTGTAGTCAGCCTGGATAGCTAATCTGTAAATAAACAGTGCCCCGTGAATCAAATAGCTAATTCCCTTATATCCATTTGTATCCTCTAGGACTATTTCTAGAAACTTGAATGTGGGTTTGGTGAGTGCTATGGTCTGAATGTTTGTGTTCCTCCAAAATTCTTATATTGAAATCTCAACTCCCAAGATGACAGTATCAAGAGATGGTATCTTTGGGAAAGTGATTAATGTCCTTTTAAAAAACTTGTTTTGGGACCAGCAGGTGGTGTGGTTGTTAGGGGCACTAGACTCTCACATGGCCAACTGTGGTTCGAGTCCTGAACTTGGTAGCTTTCTTCTCACTATCTTTCTTTCTCTCTCTCTATCTCTCTCTGGTCAAATCAAAAATAACAATAGTAACTAATAAAGTTAAATAATTCTTATAACAAAAGGCAAGGCTTATTGGCCTCTTCTACCATGGGAAGACACCTTATAGAAGGTGCCTTCTATAAGGAAGGGGATCTCTGAATCTGAATGGCACTGAATATACTAGCAACTTGATCTTAGACTTTCCAGCCTCCAGACCTGTGAGCAATAAATTTCTGTTGTTTATAAATTACCCAATACAAAGTGTTTTGTGATAGCAGCCCACACTAACCAATACAGTCAGGGTGTCACCATCTAGTGGGGGACTTCCATTTCTGTCAATCCATACATCCATAGAGGCAGGCCCAGGAATTTTCTTCCTCCTTTCGCAACTCAACAGCAAGCTATGATTTTTGTGCCACCTAGGAAAGCCTGTTTGCTCCTCATAGAAGAGTATAATGGCAGGAATTTTTACTCCAGTAGGTAACAGGTACCTTTGCTCCAGTCTTGAGCTCTCTAGATATAACACATGATTCAAAATACCATGGCATACAGACCTGTCTTCCTGTTTCTTTTCTGCACTCCTTCCTCTAGACTGAGATATGCCACCTCCTGTCCCATTGAGACTATAAAAAGGAAGAGATCATGTACGTAGTAAAAATCATGTTTACTAAAAGGAATACTTATGTATAATTAGCAAACAATTCACTGCTTGAGCCTTTTACTCTGATTGTGAAAATGAAGCTTGCTAGATGCTTAAAAGCTATCTTTATGGGAAAAAAAAGTGCAAGAAAATGAAAATCTCCATTTACTTTAGATTTATTTGAATTTACCAAAAATCTGGAGTCCAAAGAGTTCTTTATCTATTCATCTATTAAACCTTAAAAAATAATGGGGCTGGCAGGTCGTATGGTGGTTAAGACACCAAACTCCCACATGGGTGACTATAGTTTGAGTCCCGGATCGGGTGGCTTGCTTTCTCACTTTCCCTCTCTTTCTCACTCTGATTAAATTTTAAAAAATAATAATAAATAAAATTAAATAAATGATTATTTTAAAAATAGTTAAAAACCTTATGAAGGCAATGCGGTTTGAAGGTTTTATTGATCAATAAAATATGGTTTTATACATTTATTAATTTACTAGGGCTGTCAAAATAAAGTACCACAGATTGCATGGCTTAAGCAATGCAAATGTATCGTTTCACAGTCTGGAGGCCAGAAGTCTGAGGTCCAGGTGTCATCAGGGTTGGTTACTTCTGAGGCGTCTCTTCTCAGCTTATAAATGCCTGTCTTCCCCCTCTGTACCTGCCTCTGGGCTCACGTGTCTAGTGTCTCTCTGTGTGTCCTAATCTTCTCTTCTCACGAGGACATTAGTTGTGTTGGATTCGGGCCACCCTAACGACTTCATTCGCACATAATCACCTTTTTCAAGGTTCTTTCTCCAAATGTGATTGCATTCTCAGGTTCTGGGTACTAGGGCTTCCACATATAAATTTCAGGGACCACAATTCAGTCCAGTCTGTAACAGCACCCGAAGGAAGAGGACAACAGAACAAAGGCAGTGTGAGTACAGGTTTTTTTTTCAGAGCAGCAGGAAAGGATGAGCTGTAGATAGAAACGGTGGCATTCAGGGCACACACTCATGTGTGCAGGTCTGTCCCACACCGTTCTCATGCTGACCTCGTCTCATGCACATGCCTTCCCATCTTCACTGACAGCTACGTGTATGCTGGTTCTCCCACCCCTCTGAATTAAGTGAAGTGCCTGGAACGATGTCTCCTACGGTGCTCCATGATGTTTTCATGAGAGGATCTCCAGAGGCAGGAGAGGGTAAATCACAGAGGCTTGCTGGGCTTGCCTCTAAGGATATATGGATTACCCAGAATGCAAGTCTCCACCAAATCCAAAATTTGACATCAGGTGGTTTATTATTTAGAAATTATTGTACATGAGGATTCCAGCTCATAAAATAATGTTACGTATACATAAACAAAATATAAATATTAATTCAAAATCAGTCATTGTTAATGTAAATAATGTTTAAATTACTTGCCATCAAGTAAAACTGACATTCCTGGATGATGGGCCAAGTTGATTTTTATCTCTGTATACTTTCTGAAATGTGGACTTATATCCCCGGATTATACATATCTCAGGTAAAGGAGTGCCAGCTAGACTTCATTATATTTTGGGAAAGGATGAGAGCAAAACAGCGAACACTGACTGCCAAGGAAGAACAGTTCTCTGGCCAGTCACCTGGAGAGAGATAGGAGCTTATTACTCATTCACCCAGTCACACCCACCTAACCCTGTAGGGCTAACTTTTCACTGATCCCTGGAGGGTGTATGAAAATGATCTGCTCATCATCAGTTTCAGTAAAGATGTATATGCTGACCTGTCTTTTCTAACTTAGAGCTGAACCATCTGAATCAACTCTTCCCTTGAGCCCACCTTTTTACACCTCTTCTCATGAAATTTATTAAAGCACAGGTTTATTTAAAGACATAGGATCAGTTCTGAAAGTAATCCTTTAGTGTTCAAGTTTTGTTGTATGGAGACTTTGCTTCTGTAGCAACTTATCTGTGAAAACTTGTGACACTTATTGCCCACCAACTTTCCTCCAGTAACAAGAGGGTTACTATGATGTAATGTACTAGGTGATTCTACTCAGATGGCCTACATGTTTTAGAAGAATGGGTTTTATTCTGACGTTCAGTACCTTTTGTTCAGCATCTGGGATGTCCATCTTCCTAGGGACATAACTCTTCTCTTACCTTCTCTCTACCATGGCATTGCCACCAGGATCTCACTGGAGTGTGTACGTTAGACTAATGATCGCAACTCTTTAGAGATAAAATTGGAGGGCAACAATAAGAAACAATTCTTATATTATAGAATGTAATATCAATTCCCCTCCTTTAGTGAGGTTACTCTGATTAAAGTAACAACTGTTTGGGGACCGGCTGGTGACATGGCAGTGCTGCAACCCTCTGAGGGGCTGGGCCCACGTGGGCAGGCCCTGGTTCATGTCCTGGGGTTTCCCTGTGCACACAGGGCACTCCCCTGCATGCTATGGGAGCAGGCACATGTCTATGACCCAGACAGGGTGAGTCAAGGGGTGAATCATAGCCTAAGGGCCTTGGGAGGGTACCTCTCTCTCTCATGGAAGAAAAACAAGTAACAAATATGTTTAAATATTCAGCACTTTTATAAACTAAATTCATTGAGAGTAAGCCTCCAACAAAGAAAAGAAAGGAGAAACAAGCAAAAAAAAAAGATACTCAGCAGATAATGCAATGTTTCTAAGAATAAATGAAGTGAATGATATTTGAATTAAAATCTCAAGCTTCCTGGAATTTTAAATCATTCCCACTTCATTATAGGGGAGCAATATTTTTTGTTTTCTTTCTTGTATCTAAACCCATCTCAGGACTCTAGCCTGGAATCGTAACTTTCTCTTCATTTTATCTTATGGTTTTTAGACCATTGCCAAAACTCTCAAGATAGTGTGTGAAGTTTTATCATCTGACCATGATGGCGGACCTCCCCGGATCCCATTCAGTACCTTCCAGTTTCTCTACACGTATATTGCCGAAGTGGATGGCGAGATCTCTGCATCACATGTCAGCAGAATGCTAAACTACATTGAACAGGAAGTGTAAGTAAGCTACACCAGTCGGGGCCAAAAGAATACTGGGAAACTAAATCTAGCAAGGTCAGCCCTGAGGCCTAGTGGTTAAGGGAATCAGATCCCACATTCTTTACCACAGTTCAAATCCTTGCCCCAGTGGTTTGAAAAACACCCTGGGTAGGTATGCATGCCTGAAATCCCAGCAGGATGGAGAAATAGAGATTGCATCGTAATCATGCACCATTGTGGGGTGCTTTCTCTCTCCCTCTTTGTCTCTATCTGGAGAGTGCAAGTGCCCTCCAGCAATTAAAAAAAAAAATCTAGCAAGTCAGAATATTGTGAGGTTACTATATTCTACTGCCCTGGAAGAGAGAAACATTGTAAGGAATAAAGACAATCTGAAGGCAAAGGAAAAGAATGGTATTAGATAGCAGTTCTTGAAATGCTACTGAGGCCAGCAGCAGCAGCATCGCCTGGGGAACTTTTTGAAATGCAGACTCCAGGCTGCACCCTGGACCTACTGAATCTGAATCTCTCAGAATGGGGCCCAGGAATCTGTATCCTAGGCAGCTCTCCAGGTAACCCAGACTCCGGCTCAAGTTTGACCAGCGGAGTGAAAGTGAAGAGGAAGGCAGGCAGTGAGGATTAAAAGAAATGGTTGGGGACCAGAAGTTGGCATAATGGCTATGTCACTGGACTCCCATGTAGTCGACCATGGTTCGAGTCCTGGACCTGGTGCCTTAAACTCATGCTGGACGCGTGTGCGTGCATGCCCAAGATCCCAAGAGGAGAATGAAGAAGAAAGGATTGTGGTGTGGCCATCCCCCTCGGGGGGGGGGGGGATTTCTCGCTTTCTGTCTCTCTGTCTCTCTGCCTTTCTGGCGAGCATATGTGCCCTATAGCAAAAACCTCTCAAAAAAAAAGAAAAAGAAAGAAAAGAAAAGGGTGATGGAGTGGCAGCTGCAGCAGGATTTTTCTGGAGTAAGAGAGTTGTTCATGTACTTATTGTCTTTCTTAAGACTAATTACTAAATGAACTAACCTCAGATGCATATTTTTCTCCCAACCAGAATTGGTCCTGATGGTTTAATCAAGGTGAATGACTTTACCCAAAACCCCAGGGTTCGGCTGGAGTAAAAGCACAATTTTAAGAGACAATACAGAGATGATGGTACTTCAGAAGGACTGAACCCCGCACACCATCCAAAGGCAATTTTCTTGTACAACTGGTACACTCTAATAAACAATTAGGCAAACATAAGAAATCAGAAATGTGTGGAATTAAGATGTAAAATTGTTGGCACCAAACACCTACATTACCAAATTAGTATTCTTCCCACATGGACACTAAGAGTGGCTGATGAAGCATGGATAAAATTGCATCTTGAGTCAAAGCCAGACTGTCAGATTTTAAAAGGCAGAATGTTAACCACACACAGTTTTGTTATTTTGTGATTGACAGGTATAATTTAGATGAGTGTCTTTTACATGGTCAATTGAGTGTTTCCAGTTATTTCTCCACTTGTTGGTACTACGTTATTCATTTATTCACTCACTCACCAATATTTATTGATATTTGCTCTGTTCTAGAAATAGGGTTGCCGCATATAATACAGGATAGCCAGTTAAATCTGAACTTCAAGGAAACTTTTTTTTCTTTTTTTAAAAAACAATTTGTTTTATTTTGCTCTTTACTAAGTCTAGCAACCCCCACCAGGAACTAGACTGGCTTCAAGACATTCACAAACAAGTCCTATCTCAGTTCTTCCCACGAGAAGCTCACAATCTGGACAGGAACAGAAATCACTTCCCTGCCAGTATCCCTGAGCAGCACTGAGTGCACTGGAAATCAGCATTGATGTGTCACCGTGAGGCCAGCTCACAGCATGGTGGTTAAGGCAGTTGAATCCCACATGGTCTACGCTCAGGTTGAGTCCTAGACCTCACAGGCCCTGCAGCTTGAAAAACACCCTGGGCACATGTGCATGCATGCCCAAAATATTGAAAGGAAGGAGAGATGAGGAAGGGATTGCGATGTGACCATTCCCTATGGGGGGTGCTCTCTCTCTCTCTCTGGCAAACAAATGTATTCTCTGACAAAATAAAAAATAAAAATAATTAATAAAAGATGTATGGATGTAATGGAATTCTATGGAAAATCCCCTGCTGAAGCCTAAGACCCTCAGACGAGGAGGTCAATGATTTTTCTTTCTCAAAGGAAGCAGATGAGATTAATAGGCAGCGACTGGCATTCTTAATGCCAAGTGTGCCAAAGTGTCTGGGTCAGTCTCCTCTACTTGGAGTATTACTCTCTTGAAAGTTATTTTTACGGGGCCAGCAGAGGGTGTAGTGTTACATCGCTGGACTCCCACATGGCTGACTGTGGTTCAAATCCTGGACCCAGGAACTTGAAACTCATATTGGATGTGTGTGTGGTGTGTGTGTCCAAGATCCCTGGAGGAGAATGGAGGAAAAGGGATCAGAGCATGGTTATCCCTCCTGGGGGGTGATTTCTCACCTTCCCTCTTTCTATCTCTGTCTTTCTGTCTCTCTCTGGCTAGTGCACTTACCCTAAGGCAAAACAATTCTTTAAAAAAAGTTATTTTTGCTCAAAATCCATGTTAGCTTACATTTATATATCTCTCTACATAACATGAGGTGGAAATGTGTCCAATTTAGGTAAAAGGAGATTGTGATGAGATGTTACCATGGGCACTTGATTTCTACCTACAGTGAAATGAAAAGGACTGAAACGAATTCTTCCCCCTGTCATGAGCTGCACCTGCAGGGAGTGGGCAACAACTAATCCTGCCTGCTGTCTACCTTCTGAACCGAAGGGGCTCATCATTGATTCCAACTCTGAGACCTAAGGCTGTTCGAAAGGCTGAAACACTGCAGGTGAAGCCTGGCACTGGAGTTAGTCGGGACTAGAGAAGGTGCAATCTTGTAACTGGCCATGATTTCTTGGTGTCTCTGTTTCTCTTTCGTTGTGGCCAAACAGCTGAAATAGGTCTCTTGGCTAGGAACAGAAAGTGAAAGGGGGCAGAGAGGACAGCCCCGATGTGAAAGACTCCATGATAAGTTATTAACCTGTAATCAATTAAGTTCATACACATAACAAAAGTAAAAAGGTTCTTTGTATTTGGGGAAACAGACTGAAATTAGAAACTAAATCTCAGTGACTCTGAGCATAATCTCTCATGAGTGAAACTAAAGAAATCCCCACTATCAAAGGCTCCATTGCACACAGATAGGAAGTCATTGACGTTACTGTAGCCATCAGCTAGAACTCAGCACAGCTGGCAGAGCCATTGTTGCACTGCCACCTGTTCATCTAAACCACCCCTTGGTGTCCACCATTTTCCTTATTCTTAGGTTCTTCTGTGCACATACATTTATTTCCTATTGAAAAGTAAAATAGTACATCAAAACTTCCATTTTTTTCTATTCAAATTTTGAAAACCAGGGAATCTAATTATCTGTCCTGACATCTTTGCTCTGGCTAAACTACCCAGTGTTTTCTTTACATTCCTTCCTCTCAAATTACTTAGCTTCAAATAATTCTTTCTAAAAAAGAATTATGTATTTAACTTTACTTATTATTATTACTAAATTAAAAAAAAATTCTACAGGGCATGTGCACTCACCAGAGAGAGACAGAGACAAAATGTGAGAAAGTAAGTCACCAGGTTCAGGACTCAAACCATGGTCAGCTATGTGGGAGTCCAGCACCTTAACCACCATGCTACCTGCTGGCCCCTTGCTTCATATACTTTATGCTAGGTTTCATCATAGACTTTAGACCTCTTAAGTACATGTACTTGAGACCCTTGAGTGCTTCTTTGGGTCAAATTCAAAAGTTGGAATCAAGCATTGTATATTGAAGTCATTTGACTACTTCAAACTATACATTTTTTTGAGAAGTTTTTGCTATAGGGCATATGCACTCACCAGAAAGAGAGACAGAGAGACAGAAAACAAGAAATCACCCTCCCCCCCAGGCTGCATGGCCACACCACAATCCCTTCTCCTCCATTCTCCTCGAGATCTTGAGCACGCACACACATATGCCCGGCATGAGTTTAAGTGGCCGGGTCTGGGACTTGAACCGTGGTTGACTACATGGGAGTCCAGTGACATAGCCATTATGCCAACTGCTGGTCTCTATACTTATTTCTTATAAATCACTGGTACCAAGGTAGAAAAGAAGGGATGCAAGGAGAGAAAGACATCACAGACTTCATAAATTTTCAAGATCATCAGTATAGAGCCTATCCTAGTGAAGAGTAGCTTTTTCAACCCACTGTACTATTACCAGCAGGAAAGAACCAAATAAGGCTTACAATTAAATTGACTCATTATTTCTGATGATAGCATTCTTAGGGGGATTCCATTCATGATACAGGCAATAACAACAATCTAGCAGCTTATTTTTTAAAAAAAAAAAAAAAAAAAAAGGCTTATTTAGTTTCATTTATTTAGGTAGGTAGTTTTACTTTGCCCAGAAAGAGACAGGTAAAAAAAAAGTGGAAAGCAAGCTGCCAAGTCCAGGACTCAAACCACAGTCAGCCATATGGGATCCAGCACCTTAACTACCATGCTACCTTCTGGTCTCATGTTTCTTGATTCATTCTGAATTCCCTCAAGCCTTATGTCCCTTAGTTTTCTTTCTTTAAAAAAAGAATTCTTTCATTTTAGCCCTCATTCTTGTTATTTTAAAATTTGCTATAGAACACATGCACCCACCAAAGAGAGATGCGTCCTAGACTAATTTCCTGCCCTAATTACTATGCTCTCGCCAAACTACCCAGTGTTTTCTTTACATTCCTCCCCACAACTTACTTTGCTTCAAATACTTTCTCTAAAATAATTATTTATTTAATTTTATTTATTATTGTTATTATTAACATTTTGCTATAGGGCACATGTAGTCACCAGAGAAATACAGAAAAAGAAAGTGAGAACCCAAGCCCCGAGATCTGGACTCAAACCACAGTCAGCCATGAGGGAGTCTAGCACCTTAACCACCATGCCACCTGCTGGCTCCAACTTAGTTTTTTTTTTGAGCCAAGAAAATCTGTTCATTTCATATGTTGTAGAGATGTACAGTGATTAAATGTAAAAAAAGAGAGAGAGAGAAAGAAGGAAAGAACAAACACACACACCAAAAAAACAAAAACAAAAAAGTAAGATATTGCAGTTTTACCATCCTTTCTTTCCTCATAGTTAACAATGTCCTTGCTTCTTCCTTCTGTAGAGGAAGCCCCCTCTGATCTCCTGAAAGATTCTTCTGTCCTGCTGCTGAAGTGGAAGGGAATTTGGTCTCAGAACTGAAAGTCAAGTTATTAAGTCCATTTATTAACATTTCTGAGGAACTGGGAGGAGTGGCCATGAGTGGATGAGCCTCAGGGGCGAAATGCAGGGTTGGTTGCTGCTCCAACAAGAAGTGGTTCTACCCCAGGGAGATCTTGGGGAGACTAGAACTATGGAGCAGTGAAGATGCAACCTAGCTCAGTGCCCACCATTTCCCTCCTCCCTCTGAGGAACGGCTTACTGGGCAATGCTTCCTGCTGCCTCTAAGCTATTGCCACTGCTATGCCACTGATGCTTTCTAGTGACAGCCTCCACAGCACATCTGCCAAGCAGCTTGCTTCAGCAGTCAGCCGGGGTGGGAAACAGCTTTGCCGTTCCACTGAGCTATGCCGTATTAACAATACTATAAATACTGTATTATGACAATTGCTAGCCTTTACGACAGTGCAGGACAGTATGTATGTCGCTTTACATGCATCCTGAAATGTTTCTGTATAACGTGCGTAACCTTAGGAAGTCAGTGCCATAGTCCCCACGTTATAGATGAACAGACTTAGTTGTCCAGTGTCACTGGTGAGAAAGAATTGGAATCCAAGTTTGTCTGATGCCAAACCTGTGCTGTCTCACACATATGCTCAATGTCTGTCTAGGTATGGGCTCTCCGCCCCAGAAATGATTCCTGAGGCAGGAATTTTAAGTGTGAATAGTTTGTTTGGGAGGCAATTCCAGGAACAATGGAAGGCAAGGAGGAAGAGTATGTGATGGGAAGAAAGTCCCTAAGGGGTGTGTTACCCAGCCAGTTACCCCGGAACTCCCGTAGTGCTGGGAAAGTCTGGGAGACAGCAGAGAGCACATCTCAGAGTTATCCTAATCTGAGGGGCGAGGGAAATCTTCATCCACCAGTGGCTAAGGGTAGCTTCCTCAACAAATCCCATCGGTTATTGACTCCAGGCTGCTTCCAGGGG